ACCTGCATCTTTCAAAAATTCCACCCAGTGCATTTTGCAGCACTTCAGTAGCTTTAAATGTCCAGCCACCAATGCTCTGACATCAAAGATAAAGCATGTGTTAATTTCTGAGGATTACTTCTGGTTTTAGATGCACTTGGGAACTTAAGTCTCAAAAGCGACCATCAACCACTGACTATGTGTCCTTGAGCACTATGCCACTTGTCATTGGTTTTCTAGCAAACTCGGATTAGTTTCCACCTTTCCCTCTTAACTCAGTATCTGAAATTGCCTTAAGAGACCCATTGCGGATAATACAGCCATGATACCGGCGTTACTGAAGGTAGGAGAGGGTAATTTCCTTGTTTCAGTACATTAAGTTACCTAGGAGATAAAGGGATCCATATCCTCTACAAATCACTTGCTGTCTTGTCAAACAGCAGATAAACACCTTTGTAGTATTCTGGAATCGGGGTTGCTTCTCGATCTAGATCTATGTGGAGGTTATTTGGTTTTTGTGTGCATGTGCTTTGCTTAAATCGAGTTAGGAAGCTTGATTTCAAAGTCATTGACATTGATTTAACTGGAAATGGTAATCATCATAGGTCCTAGAGAAACATGGCAATTTAAAAGAAAATGCAGTGGGCCTGATCTTCACTCCCACTCCCCTGAGCCTGATCTGCTGAGGCAGTACCTAAGCACTCAGAATGCTACAATGATAAACAGGGAGTCTCAGGCATAAAGTTGATATAACCACCTTGATACCTGCTGCTCCTCAGCCTTCATAAAGGGGTGGGCAGGTATAAAGAGTTCAGCTACGTGGTGAGGCCAGAGCACATCATGTTCCCATTAAACCTAAATAAATAAAGATTTACAAAGAGAAATTCTGTGACAGGTGCAATCTCACGGGTTTTAGATTGGTTCTAAATTGTGCCATGCGACAAGCTGGCTTTCTCCACTCCAGGGGCAGGGGAGCTCAGAATCACACCTTGTTACCGAGAAGTGCAGTTCAGCATTTGCTTACTGGGACTGAGCATCCTGTCCACTGGCTGATCATTCTTTAAAGCAGCAGTGATATCAAGTGGTGTCCTAATGGATGCAGTATTACATAGGTTTAGGGTCCCATGCAATTTTTTTCTTGCAACGGAATTACAAAGATTTAAAATTACTCTACAACAGATTGAGATTATTATTTCTAGTTAAAGCACTGTCAAAGACTTTGAAATCAATAAAGCTTAGGCTAAGCAAAAATCAAACACCTCATGGATCTAGATGAAGAAGCAATTCCCAATTCAAGGCTTATAGGCATGTTCTGCTGTTTGAGGAGATGCGATATATCAAAATACTTGCAGAGGATATGGATTCCCTGCCTAGTACAACACTTTGCTGCACTCAGAAAAGCAAAAAGAGAAACCAGGGCTAGAGACTCTCAAATGGGGAGTACTTGACTCTGCTACGTATTTAGAAGGGAACACACCAGATCACAGGTGTCACACTGGATCACAAGATCCTAAAGCTGTAGCAGTGACTGCAGGGAGACCTGCCAGAGGGATCCATTCAATGCAGCCAATTCCCTTCCCTTGCATTTGTGAAATCTGCATATTTAAACTCTGTAAAGGGACTAAGATTTTCTTATTTGTATCTATTTATCTTATTTGTATCTAAGTTGCTATTGCACAACCCCACAAAGACTGCAATATTCAAGGAGCTGTATGTGGAGAAAGTAACGCTCAGAGCTAAAGTCACAGTCAGAAGCCAAGATGACTTTATACACACAAGTTCAGTACTGTTTTTCAGAAAACTTTCAGTTAGGAAGCTTAGATTACTGTAATTTTCTGACTACTAATTGCTAAATACAACTTACTTGTCTGAAATCTGGAATATTTAACAATCCAGTCCGACTTTCATCATAGGATTTAAAAGTTCGCCTCATAGGTCTCCAGCAGTGCAGGATCTGGGGTTGAATTCTCAGCATTGCACTGAAGAATGATGTGGTTTGTGGTCCAGGACTCATCTGGCAAAGTTGGGTCAGAAAGACTAGCATTTACTAACACCACGAACACACTGCACATGACTATAATGCAGAATGAAAAGGTGTTGGAATGAAATACTGACTGAACTTGTGATAGGCCGCTGAATACTTGTTTACAAATTATTGCAAGATACTGTTTACACAAGATTATTTTAACTTATAACATTTTAATATTCTTGGGATGTGTAGATGATACGCTTACTTGATTGCTGCCAAAGTCCTATCTTTTTATTATCTGAATCTAATTCTGAAGTCAGTGTTACTTTTTCTAAGATCTCAGTGTTTTCACACGTATCATACTTGTCCTCGTTTCAACTCTGTCTTTCAGTCATTACTAATTCTCTGCGGTATTCATTTTTCAGAGTGAAATTCTTGCTAAAAAGTGACTGAATGCATAAGGCAACTGTGGAGTAATAGGGTATTTAATAAAAACAAAACACCACTATACGTTTTTCCTAGCACATAAAATGCCTTGTGACCAATTTTTGAACATTTCTACAGTTCAATAGCTGGAACATAGAGTTAATTTTTATTGGGAAATTTTTTTTTTTGTTGTTTTAGCCTTACTAAACTTGTTACATCATTGAACCCTGAATGCATGAAGCGTGAAACTATCCATTATGGCAAAATTCATTCCGCTTGAACCAAGCCGTAATACTTGAGTTATGATTAAGGGACTTCGGGAAAAGTCAGCAAGCTTCAATCCGCCTACAGGGTCTGGATCTCTTGTACTGCCCTCTTTTTCTACAGCTGCATCTCAACTTCCCTCCACATTTTCCTGGTATTATTATAGTAATTGGATTAAGTCAATAGCACCCCATTGGTGCCAGTTGCACATGCTACTAGAATCTACAAATGTCTCATTGTGAAAGAAATGTATGGTTGATTTTACACATCTGCCACCTGGATATAGATGCCTTGCTGCACCTATATGTGTTGCAAGCGGCCTAGGTGCCAGCTGCAGTGTCTTTCTTTGCTCTTGTGTGTTCCTCCTTCAGAATATGCAACTGAGGAAGCAGTGGCTACATGAATAATGCAGTCTGCCACCCAGAATACTGAGTACCCCTGTGGTCTGAAGGGAGGGGAAGAGCATTTTACAGTGACTGGAAGAACTTGGGCTGTTTTCATAGCTCAGAGAACTGGATGCCTCCAAGAAGCCCTAGGCCATTGATTCTCTCAGGCTTTTGAGAACGAGGAGATGTGCCTGCCACAAAAAAAAAAGGTTTTATTTGTTTTTATTATTCCTTTTGATGTGTGTCTGTATACTTATTTGGTGGAATGGGCTGAGCAATCTATGAAGAAAATTCACTTTGAATATTACATTATATAAAGATGCTCAGAACATGGACTGAGCTCTTCATTGTGTTGTCTGAATAGAATAAATAAAACAAAAATGATTTGAGGCAACTACATAGGGACTTTAAAATTACTGCTTTATCCACTCCAGAATACTGGCACGGAATTTTACAGCATCACATTTGTGTATAAAGGAAACCTTATGAAAGATAATGAAGTTCTTTGATGCAAAACTTAATAGTTTTACCTTACTCTCCCTACTGGCAGGGAATACTTGATAATTCCTAATGATGCTCTCTTCATACCTTGGTAGCAATCTGTTCTACAGTTCCACAGCTGAAAACAGTTCAGTAATGTAATTTCACCATAAAATGCTGTGACTAACCATATCTAAGCTAATTAGGCACAGTCAGAAACAGTCTAAAAATGTAACAGGCTCCCTGAATGAGCAGATTTGGAATCTGGCACTGCTCCTATTTCATAACTTGACTGGGACACAGTTACTGTTTTCTTCTTTCCTGGGCCAATAGACCCAGATTTCTAAATCTCTTCTGATCTTTTCTGCCCTAAACTGGCACCATGGGCAGAGGGGAACAGCCCCTGTGTAACTGTCTTGCTGGGACTTCTTTGCCTGTTCATTGCAGCTTGTGGAGAGGGTATGTATGATAGGGAGAACTGCAAGGGCATAATTTGTGCTGACTAGTCATGGCTATTAGATTTTTTTTTAGAAACCATTAACAGCAGTGCAAGTGAGAGTTTCCTCTGAACTTTTCTTACTGTGTTCAGTGTGGAGCTGAAGCATAGCTCACTGACAATACCTCTAGCTGGGACTGTCCTGAGAGACATTCACTGCAATTTTTACTTCTAGTTGATTTTATGTAGCTCAAAGTCTCTTAGAACTTCAGCTCCTATGTTTTCTATTTCTAACCATTCTTCAAGTTTTAGCAAATTTATCATATAACCTGGATATGCAGAGCATGATCCCAAGGAATTAAATCCTGTAAGTGAAGAAGATACCAAACGAATATCAGGCAGCCAATATCACAGGATTAAGTGGGAGAATGTTGGAAAGTGCCTGCATAAAGTGACTATAGAATTAGGCCATGAAATATTCTGTCACTGCAGCAAAAATTTAAAAAAAAAATTTTTCTTTTAATTTTTAAAAGCTTTGTACATACCGGTATTTGTGGCTTCTGTATAATCATTCTTTGTAGCAGTGAGCTTTCCTGTGGCTTTAAAAGCAAGATGCAGCTCTGAAGAAAGTCACAGTATGCAAATTTTCCATTATTCTTGAAATCATATTTTGTTGTTATTTGGTTAACTTCCTCTTCACTTAAATCCAACTTGAACTTCTCTGCTATAGCTGAAATAACAGAAATGCAAAAAAAGAATATTCATTTTGTCATTCTTAAAAACAGCAAAACATTGTATTCTATTGACAAGTTTTAGTGGAGATATGTTGACAGGCCATCCATTCAGTGACTGCTGCATAAACATGTTATGAAGATCTTGTGCTATGAAGAGATACACGTATATGCCTACACCTATAGGTGTGGCAATTCACATTGAACAAGGTTTTAGCTGATTGATAACATGTTATTATCAAGAAATACTTCTTGTGCAAAATAACTGCAATAAAAGTTCTGATAAGCTAACATGTTTTTATACCTGGGACTTCACATTTGATTATTCAGGTGCATGCTGTCTTATTGCATGTGCAAATGTCTTATACGAAGGCACAGAAAATCATCCCTCTAGATGAGAACACAATAGAAGAGTAGCATAGCTCAGCTCTTCTATGGGCAAAATCTAGGGTCCTTTGAAATTAGCAGGCACTCAGCCACCGAGATCAGTGCAACCACGATTCCACCATAAGTACATACAAGTGTACAAAGGAGAAATCTGGTAAATGTATTTATTCCCATTTAGGACTAGTGTATTGGGAAGGTGATCAGCCATCCTGTATATATGCCATGAGCACCAACAGGCAAAGCCACTCTCCCCTTTCCCAAGGAATAGCTAAGTCTGAATAAGAATGCATTGCACCCAAGGCTACCTTAAGCTATTCTTGCTATAGCAGGATGGAGCAATCATACAGTGGATGCCACTTGCTAGGGGCCAGATGTTCCTATAGCTGAGACACCAGAAAGAAAATGAAACACATCTTAGAATGAATAAAACATTTTTCAGATGGTAACAAACCTAGGAAGTCTGACACTGGGATTTCTCCTTGCTTGCGGACATCCTTCTCTTTGCACTCTTTCAGTATGCCTCTCCAAGAATGCTTGATGTTCTTTCTTATCTTATTTTCTATTGGTTCACAGTTAAGGACAAGTCCAGAACATGCTGCTGTTGTCTGAGGACAGCTGGATGCTGGTATCTAAAAGGAGGAGATAATGGTAATTTTTCATCCCAAGTTTTATTGGTTGTATAGACGAAACCCCAAATGATAAATTCAGTTTCTAGCCTTCCACGTTTGAGCTCAATGTACCTTTTGAGCCATTTCTAGGTCTGATTTTAATTGAATCTGTAAAACTGTAGGTAAAAATGTTAAGACAACTCCTGGTGTCAAAATGACACTATGACACAATGACACTCTCAGATCACTGGCCTTCATGACAGGCCTACCAGTTAGACTATCAGCCATTAACAGCTGTAATTTGTCACCCACCAGAAAGTAGAACAAGACCATGAGAATGTGTTTGGACAGGCCAGCAAACACCATTTGGAAAACTGCAACTGCCAATTTTGCCTAGCTTTGGCAGATGACCGCAGATAAACGGTTTACATTTGTTATGTTGCTTTTGCAGCTATAGGGCTTTTGAAATTTGGGCTCCTTACTTTATTCTCAAAAATTTGACTGTGCTTAAATACAGACATTTTATTTGCAGTACAGCTCTGATGTGAGTAAAGTAAGAAGGTATGCTACTGGTATAAATTGATACAAATCCTTTGACTTCAGCAGAGTTAAGCTAACTATCTGACCCAATTTTTGTCATTGTAACACAGTTTTGCAAATTACTACACTTACTTATTAACAGATATTTGTTACGGATGTTTGTTTGCCTGATCTTATTAGCAACTAATAGAGATACCTTCACTGAGTTCCACAGGTATTATTTGCAGCCTATGCACAGAAATGAAAATCCAGAAAATTCCTAAAATGACTGTCACTTACTCTCTTTTGCCCTCCCAGAGAAGATGATGTCTTGGGATGTTCAGGCTGAGAAGAAACCTGTGGCTCCAGCATGGCACCGGCAACTGGCTTGGCAGAAGATGCAGAACTAGTTGTACTGGAAGCGCTTGATGGTATCCTTACAAGTTCTGATCTGAACTTCTTCAAAAAGTCCTGATACTTCAACCGTCCACCAGCATTGACATCCACTGTGTTCCAAAGATTTTCAAACTAATGAAGAAGCAAAAGATGACTTTTGTAAATGATTGATAGTTTAAAAACAAAAATTGGAATCCCCTTAGGTGCTAAACATATGATGAAACGTATTGAAAAGGAGAAGATGGCTTGGAATAGTAGGAATCCTAGAGCCCATTGTATTAAAAAAAATTACAGTTTCTCTGCAGAAGGCTGCACAAGGCTAGGAAAGCAATGAAAAAGGGATTTCTGCAGGACATTTTTAAATTGACCACCAATTTATTTCACCCTGAGGGCAAAAATGAATTATCACAAAAGAACCTAGCAGAAAATCTTTAAGCCTTTAGAATCATATATGGTTACAATATATTGTCAAGAACCATACCTCTGCAGAACACACAGGCTATAGAAGACTTAGGGACAGTTTTTGATACCCTTACTTCTGTTGCTTGCAGCACCTTTCAAGGTCAAGGTGGCACAACGCAGCTCAGGTAGTGTGCCTTCATGGTTACCTATGGCATTCTAAGGAGAAGGTTGTGCTAATCTTCCACTGAATAGCTCTTTATTCCATAAGTAACTGCATTGAATCAAATGGGACTACTCATGATATAAGCTAATAATCAAAGCCAGGATTATCACAGTCTGCCCTTAAATGAGCTGCATTCATTTTGTAAGCATTTCAAGAGCCATCAGTATGCCTTTTTAGGGCCTTCATTATTGATTTTTAATATAAATCTAATTGGGAACTTCAGATTGCTTTTGACTGGATCTTTTTCGGCAGAGACTTAAAGCCTAAAGGAAACTAGTCACCTCTTTGATGCATGTGCCAAGCTGCAGTCAAACTTCAAAGGGCAAAGGATACATTTTGAATTTCCTTTTAACTTTCCCCCACTGGCCAGGCTGCTACCACATTATGAATTATAAACAATTCTATTTTGCGCTTGTGATTATATTTCACACTTCATATGAAGATCTCAAAGTGTATTGCAAACTTCAATTAAATAGAACAATACCCTGATGAGCTGGCTTAGCTGTAGTTAGCAACTCTTTCAACACCCAATGAAATTTAGCCATTTGGGGGACTGCAATGGTAGTTCAAGCAGAGAGGAAGAAAGTACCTTAACGGAAAGGGGGATTTTGGTAGGCAGGATATTAATAAACACCTTGCTTGCAGTGTGTTTACCATCTTTAGCCTTTTATGAAAAAGGTCACAGGATCAGGAATTCAGAAGAACAAAAAGCCTAACATCAGGAAGAAATTCTTCATCCACAACTCTATATAGATTCTAACTGAGCCTTGCTAATAGCAAACAGTAAGCGGCCATCATCCAGAAAAGGATAAAAGAAGACATCATCTGTGGAATCATCCAGGATATGACTATTAGTAACACTTTTGTAATGACTCTGAGCAGTGACAACAGCCTGAGCAGCAGGGTTTTGGATTAGCAGTGGCAAATCCTGTACCCAGATTGGAAGGCTCTCCTGGGGCATCTTCATATAGATCTACGTAGGCATATCTTTGAGAGGCCTGTCAAAATCAAAATATCTCTGGAGATACAGGGCTTGAGTTTCACTCACAGAGAGGCTGCTGCTTATATAAATGAGGCTCCTCAGGCCTGCTTCTAGTTCCTATTATGGATGACAGTTTCTATCATGATTTTTTTTCTTCACTTGTCTGAGGTTCTTTTATGTATAAAATAGCTCCTATTTCTCTTCACTTCTTTCTGAGTGTAAAGTAGACATGATCTAGTTTGGAGGACTTTCCAGCTGGAGAGACCTGCCTTTCCACTTCCAAAAAAAGAAAAAATAAGAGATTTTTTCGTAACTCGGTTTGGAGCCTGCGCATTCTCCTAGGCCAGAGCTCAGCTGTGAGCTCACCCCTGACTCTTTGACTCAGCATTTTGCAGGGATGAGGAAAGAGTAACACCAAATTATCACTTAAGTTTTCATCTGCTGTTGATGTTCTAGGCTGAGATCTGGCACTTGTACTTGGTATCTCACCAAGTGAGAGATGACTGCTAAGACTAGAGCACACAGGTCATTTGTTCTTTTATGTTATTTTCAAGGGGGAAGTGGAAAATACTGTGACATTTTTCAGTGCTTTAATCTGCAACTTCTCACATGCATAGCACTGCCTGAAAACATGGCAGACTGTGCAATCTCTTCACTGTAATTACAAGCAGGCCCTGCTCTTGTCTGCAATGTATAGTCAAAGTTGCTAGGTGGGAAATACAGGGCCAAGAAATCAGAGAGTATATCTGCAATGATCGAAGTCCTGCAATAATTTTCTGTGGTGCAGATATGCTTATGAGTTTGGGAGCTCTGTGTCTCTCAGTTTGCTGCCAAATGACACTGATGCTGTTCGGAGCATGAAGGTTAGAGTGCCGCTGAGCAAAATCTGAAATCTTGTAGTTCCCTCTGTTTTATTATTCACCTAGTCTTTGGACTAGGAAAAAAATCACACTGAAACAGCATTAACAAAGATAAAAAATGGCTTCTTTCGTTTTAAGCTTAGCAGAAACAGAATCCTACGAAAGACTGGATTCTCAGGTTCCCCTGAGATTAGCACTGTGCATATCAGATAGTTTGTCCTGCCAGATTCATGTTATTTCTTAAGTCACTCAAGCTAAATTCAAGAGTATCGAAGCTCTGCTGAGGCTGATCCACGGGAATCTTTAACACAGAGCAGTAGCAGAGAGGTGGCCAGGAAATGTCAAACATTTGCCCCTTTCCTTGTCCAAGGAAGGTAGGACAAAATAGTTACTGAGAAAAAGGGATTTACATTAGATCCCCATGGAAATACTTTCAATTCTATGCTGAGAATGCTTTTTTCCCCTGTCAACCCTGGAAGTGAATTAGCTTAAAACTGAGAAAAGAAACTTTTTAAAATACCAAACACACAGATATGGAGCTAGTGAAAGAGAGTTACTATGCTTTAAATTCACACCTTAACCATTAGCATTAGCATCTCCATGAGCTTGCTTCAGAAAGCCTGTGATTATTATAGTTCACAACCATACTCAGAGATAACAAAAAAAAAATTTCCCTCAAAGGTAGCAACAAATGTTCCCGGAATGATAGTCTTAAAACATTTTCATTTCATCCAAATTGTTAAACTACTTGCCTATGCTCAGCACTATGCAAACACATTCCTACAGCCAGAGACAATTTACCCAGTTGTACACTTAACAGTACAAAATAAAATAGTTTTCTTACTTGTTCTTCAGTCAGCAGCAGAAAATGTCGGTTACATATATCCCAGAACTCCTCTTTTGATACTGTGTTATCTTTTGAAGAGTCAATATCTTTAAACTCTTGTGCAATTGTACTAAAGCGAGCAGTCACTACTTCTTGTATCCGGGAGAGGATGCCTTTCTTTGACAGCTCCCGAGAAGATTTAGGTACAGTGACTTTTTGCCCTTGCTTGGTCTAGACAAAACATACACACAGAATCAGTAATGGATCCACTGAATAAATTATAAATCATGGTGTGGCATTCAGCCAGTCAGAGAGGGAAAAATCCATGGAGAAGGTGGCCTTAGAGATCCTGCAGGCAGTAAAACCGACTTCCAGGAATTCTGGCTTGTACCACAAAAGAGAAAAGGGGCCATATAAGTAGTTGAAGGGAAAAAAAGAGAACTCTCTATAAACATGATCTAACTGGTGACAGGCCAACAAAAGCACAGAATTCCAAGACTGACCTAAACTTTTACAAAGGTCTAAAAAATTGGGTGATCTTACAAAGAGGGCTATTCTATTAATGCAGAAAAGGGGAACTGAGTGCTAACTAGTCCAAATATCCTGAAAGTATTCTTCTCATCTGAATAATCTTTAGCACACAGCGGAAATCTCATTGGTTTAAAAGGGTAATCAGTCCTAAAATGAAGGAGATGGCAATTATTTCCCCTTCACTTCTAAATTCCAGATGTATTTGCTTTAGTACTTTTTTTATCTGGTTATCCATAGCAGTTGAAGGCTGCAAATGTTCGTATGTGTAAGGCAAAAGGGGAGAAGTGGTTGGGTAAAAGTGTGTTAACACTAGAGGAAGATGCACACAATCTTTTTTCTTTGTACAGCTTTTAAAATCTACCATTAAACCTCATTACTAACTAAACTCCCCATTATGCATTCTGCAGTGTGAAAACCCACACTGTGAATAAATACAGTAGAATTTCATATGGCAAGCAGAAACAAAACTACAAGATATGGTTGCCTGGAATAAACCCATTTGCAGCGTAAAACAGTACTTGGTTTTTGAACGGACATATTGAGAACACCAAGATCCTACTGTGCTTGCAAAAAGCTACATTTCATAAAATGTAAGCATTAATGAAGTCTATTCAACATTCACTTTCTACCTCTAGAAGCAGTAGCAAATTTCAGTTTTTAAAGTGGAACAAAGTTTTACTTATAAAATTTGTCTCAATGGCACAATGTAGAATAATAATAAAAACAGAACAGTATCAGAATTTTGAAAAGAAACTACTTATTTTCAGAAATGGAAGCCAACTTTCCACCCAGTGCAGTGTCTAAACTAAGTATGTAAAATATCTTGAAAGTAAAGTTTTTCATAAACAGTTTCATAAACGACAGCCAGTTTTACTATAGCTGTGGTAACAGGTTCTGCTAAAAAAAAAAAAAATCTGTTTTGCTTCAAAGGTATTTCTTTGTAGGACGTTAAATGTTGCTATTATATTTTATACCTCTAAGTTTAAGCATATAAGCTTTGCCACCTTCTTGCTCCATGCAATATGAAATACTAAAAGAGAAACAGATGGCTTTTGGTCCTGCGCTCCTGTTTCCTTGTCACTTCTCACATGATTATTATAACTGAATGGAAAAGAAAATACATTTCTTACAGAACTACAAGAAACCTGTCTCCAAATCAGAAAAGACTCCGCTATCTTCAGATGTAAATATCACTTTTCAATATTAACCATGCTTTACATAAAACATATCAGCAGGATAGGTATTACAGCTGTATTATTAAGAGAAGAAATATGATATGTGGAATTATGCAGGCAGACGTGGAATCAAGTCCACGCTGTTGTCAGGAAATGAAGATTGCCAGGCACGGTACAGCACAGGGCATACTTTCTGCGTTTCTGACATTCTAAAAACCTAAAAAGCGCTACATCTCTGTTTTTAATTAGTCTAATAAAGCCAAAGACTTAGGGAAGATATTACTGCCTGCAATCTTTTAAAGAAACATACTTTGAAAGCACAAGCTTTCCCAATTTATTTAATTTCAAGAGCTTTCTGTTTATTTCATAAGACCTCATCTACTTTGATCTTAAAATTGTTAGAAAGTCAATATAAAAAAAGATTACTTGTTCTTCTTGTAAAGTACAGATTGCAAACTAGAAAATATTCTCTATTCAAGTTATTGCGTTGCACGTCTACTGTATATTCAGTGCATATCTATAGCTTTGTTCTCTAGAACTCAGATAAACACCTATAGCTGAAATAATGGAGCTGAAGCCTAAAATTTTGCGCTCTGGCCTGGGGATCTGGATATTTAAATGCCATTTGTGTCTCTGATACTAACATGCTACACAATGTGGGCACATTTCTTAGCTTTGCTGTGTCTTAGTTTAACCTCCTGAGTAAAAGGAGTAACAGGAATGAATCTCCTTCAGAGCTGTGCAGTTTATGTCCTGGAATGCGAGGGGGCATTACTGTGAGGCTTTTCTCATGAGCCATTCGATGTAGATTACTTGCTGTTCAAAAGCAGGGCTGTTTTCTTTTATTCTTTAGAAAGTTCCTTGCACAGCCTCGTGTCCTTTTCTATAAATGGCACAACCATGCTGATTAGTAATAAAAGAAGGCTCCACCACCCACACCTGCTCAGTGAAGCTCCATTCCTGCAGCTCCTTCCTGGTTTTGGAAGATTTATCTACTAAGAGAAATTTTTAATTATAAAATAAATCAGTACATCAAGACAAATTATAGTTTCTCTGGTCCTGTTCTCTGCCCTACCGCAAGTCTGACCTCTCTCCCTGTCTGGGGATGAACAGAAGGCAAAGGTCTTGGGAAACTGCTTACGCAAGAAGCCCCCTGTTTCTTTTCCCTGAAAGAGGATGCATTTTCCTCTTTGTGCATAAGGATGACCTTTGCCAGAAGTAATAATCCTGTTGAAAGCTTACACAGTTTTAGAAGTTTGTGTGCTTAGCCCGTGGGCCCATCCCTAACAACACATATCTTCCAGTTATTTTCCATAAAAGGTTCTTCCCTAATGATATGTAGAAGCAGCAGAGTTAGTTGCCTAAGCGTGGATTGGGGTGGAAACGCATATTGTTCTAGGGTTCAAATACTGGAAATTCACCAGGCAGCCAGTCCTAGCTTTCACATTCTGATTTAGAAGTTCCAGTGTTATAGAGAAGCTTGTGTTTTATCACTGTGTTACAAGGAGAGCTGTATCCTCATCTGGCAATGATCAGTCTAGCTCCATTAACCTGAGTGCTGATTTACGCCTGCTGAGGATTTGATAGATGGCGTGCAACAAGAGCTTGCAATAATAAACACAATTATAAATAAAAGATGAAAACTCCATTGAGGCTCATTCTGTAATGTACCGTTTTCCTTTTGACCAACTGTTTGCAACAGACAGATTCAAGTTCTGAGGTCACATTTTCAGGATAAAATACTCTTTGTAGTGTTTAGAATTTGTAATGGGATACAATGATTTGACAAAAATGATTTGACACAGTGAGTCAAAGATGACTCACTTACCAACCTTTTCCTTGCCTAGAAAAATTCCTCATTCCTCTTAACATAATTCAAATAGTTATGATATTAAACAAATATGAAATATTAAGCAATATAACTCTATACCATCTTTTTTTTGTGCAAGCTACTCAATTAGGCTACACCTAGTAGCGCAAATGCAAATAGTATGGGACATCACTGCTTCACACTGACTTCTCCAGGGTATCCTAAAGGATCAGGCTATGAATAGGAAGAGCTGCAGGTGTGAAGTTTGATTTGTTTGTGAAGTTTGAAAAGATGTATTTTGCCTCTCAGATGCCAGTTTGAATCTCACAGGAGGATGAAAACTATTTCAGGTTGCGTTAATTTTCCTGCTTGAATCACTCTATATTCAATAACTTCCCTATAGGAAGACCTGCATACCGGCCTCTGGTGGGGATAACTTTTTCCAAAGGACCAAAAGGACCAAAGGAAACAGGCAGACAGGTTAGCCAGGAGCTGGTGGGGGCCTGAAAAAGTCCAAGTTTGTTGACATGGGGGAACTGGGGAGTCTCTTCCCCTGGGCCCCACACAATCTCCTACAGTAGCTCCTTCATCTCCTAGAGCCTTGCACATAAATCAGTTTAGGTTAAGTATCTCTAGGTTTGTTTCTCTAGATTTGTCACTCTTTTCCTCCAAATTCTCACTCCATTCATCTCTCTCTTTCCATATCTCCTCCTAACTTTCACTTTTGCCCATGTTATCTTCTCTAGATTTTTTTGCTCTTTAGATTTTTTTCTTTTTCTCCTCTCTTTCCTGTTTTGTCTTATATTGTCCTTAAGAATATCCTCCAACAGGGAGAGGTAGACCTAGAAAGCATTTCTCTTTAGATAAAAAGCAAGCATAAAATAACGAGCAGTTTGTGCCTTCACTGAACAAAAACCACAGAGAAAATGTATGAAAATGACACTGGGCAAGATCTACCTGCAACCTGGCTAGTGCTAAATGGTGAGAAAGCAGCTAAATATTCCCAGGAAGCTCAGCTGAATCTAACTCCTGCTGCTGCACAACATCCTGCCAGCCACCTGAAGCAACTGTGGAACAGTGTCCTCCCCAGAGCAGAGATGGACCTACATAGCACAGCACAGAGAAGCAGGAGACACAGTGAATATTCCCTATCCCCCTCTCCCCACAGCAGTGTCCAGCAGGGCTTGACAACAGCAGAGAGGCTAGCCCATATGCAAAATATTTGATGGCTTGTTCTCAAAATCATTATCCCTACTTGCTCCTTTCACTCCTCTTCTATTAAATATAGAGCAACCCCGAAAGGCATTCCAAGGAAAAATGTGCTATTTAAAAATTTTTTTTCCTGCCCCTAAATAAAGGCAGAATCACTTTTTTTTTTTTTTGGTAGAACTTAAATTCCAAAAGATGCTGTTTCAAGAGGGCCAGAGTAGTTTGTCAAGGAATTTGTTTTATGAAATGAAATTTTCTGAACAGTTTTGGCTGCAGAATAGGAAACTATTGTTTCCTCCAGGTACTTTCATTAGACTATTTTCCTCATCACTCAGAGCAAAGAAGGAAAGAAAGGTACCGCTTCATCAGGTGTTTTCCAGGGGAAAGGATCCCAAAAGAGTTCTCCTGGCACAATGAGGGATAGCACATTGAAATGATGAGGAGGGCAGCGTATGAAAGAGTAAGGGCAAGGAAGGGAAACTTTCAAACTAGTTTCACTACAGAGAAAGAGTAACATGGGGTTAATTCCATACCGTTAGGAAAGCTTTGACATTTGTCAGCTTAAAGCAGATGTAATACCGCAAAATATACACAAACATGCACACATCCCAAGAGGGATATCTCCCCCCCAAGCACAGCTGTTGTACGTGAGGACAGTCAGAGTTTGTGGTGCTGCTGACTGAGGGCTGGGAAGTGATCAGTAGGCCTGCTAGTCCCTGCTGCTGGTGCCGTGGGCTGTGACTGATAACAGTTAGTTGTCTGATATGTCTCCAAGACAGGGGAAAGCACCACATATTCCTGGGACAATTTTATAGCTACAGCTTAGCAACTATGGAATTCTGCTCCTCACTCCTGAACACAGTTGGCAAGGATTGGTTTAGTAACCCTGCTGCCCTTAGGAAGCAAGGTTGTAGGAAGACTGAGGATTTCACTTCTCTGTTGCATGTTTTTTTGAGCTCCTAAGTGACCTGGATACAACAGATATACTGCAGGATTGCACTGACTGCATTTCATCTTTCACAGGCAACGGAGTGTTTGAGAGAGTCATAGCACAGAGCCACCCCCTCTTTGTAAGCTGGTAAGCTATGTCAGTGCTGTCCCCTCTGTTGATTTAGGATAGTTTCCAAGATCTTGAGGAGGCTGCGTTGTTTGCATTTTCCAGGAAGGGTTGTAAAATAGCTGCTGGTCCTGATAGCAATGTGATGCGAGAGCAATGGCTTCACCTCTGTAGACTCTCCAGCAGACCAAAAGAGATGACCAAAAGAGATGGAGAGAGCCATGCAATGCTTTTCACTAGCGAATAGCGGACCATAGTCCTGGAGCTCAGTCCTGGGACCTGGAGATACAGTTTTCACAGGGGAGGCTTCAAGAAGAGATGTGTGCTTGCTATGCTGGGAAAATCCTCACAGGACTACTGATGCAAAGAGCTGCAGCTTCCTCTCCTGGGCAAGGACAGCATCAAGCATGAACAAACACACCTGCAGTTTCGCAGGAAGACAGATTAGACAGAACTGGCTGAAAATAAGATGTGCTCAGCTAGTCAAGAAAGCGCTCTGCAGTAGATAGACTGCAGGAAAACTCAGAACAGAAAGCTAAACACAAACAAAAATGGAACATTTGGAATGGAAACAGGAAGTTCAGGACAAAGCTAAATGAAACATCTGGTTCAATATTGAATTGTTCTGCATTTTTTTCTGCAAAAAGATCCTAGAAATCAAAATGATCTCCAAATTTCATCATTTTTGATGAAATCACATTTTTCTAGACAAAAAGTTGTATTGACTATATTCCTGCTCACTCCAGTAATTCCTTTTCTTAGCTGAAAGACATACATACAGGAAATCCCTTGTTAGCTCAATTCCTGCCCTTGAATGGGCATGAACCATACCATGGTCTGTTCCTTCTCGCTGTCATCTCCTCAACTTGACCTGCTCTCTCTCCTCACTGATGGACTTGACAGTTCAAGGTTTGCTAAGCTTGCAGCAAGTCACTCAGCAGCAACAGCTTCAGAAAGGCTAAACAGCAAAGTATTTGGCCCTGATCACAAGCTCTCCTTTCCTCACATATTCCATATGTTTGTGCTGCTGATTCTGCGTAAAACACTTGCCGTTCTAGACCTGACCAGCACTCCCTGAGTGACAACTTTTAACATACGTTCTTTATTTTTTTCCCTCCCCAACTGAAATAGCTCACACTGGGAAAGGACATTTGAGCATATTTTCTTTAGGGGAAGGAGGCGTCTGATTCCCAACTGCCACTTCCATTAGACCGGACTGTATTAGCTACTTAATTTAATGTAGAAGAGCTCCACTTAGGCCTTATTAATCACAAGACTAGCAGTCAAGAAAGGTTCATGATGCAGACTTCCAGCTCCAGGGTCAGGATTTTTTACAAGTACCCTCAGAGGGTCCACTGGGGGTTAATAGCATCCCACCTAAGACAATGTCCTCTCTGTCCGTTTCCTTTTTCTTTTCTCAGCTCTTCTGCAGGTGGTTAGTAACATTAGGGTTAAGTAAAGTAATCACAGTTCTTTCTTACCTGAATACTAAGCTACAATCATATTGCTTAAAATACTTTTCATTTCTTTAGTTCTATTTTTGTAGAATATAGCCCTACAGAGCTGTGATTCAGTGGGAACCCTGTTCATATAAATCAGATCAGACCTACAAACGCTGTAGTGTGTATTCTAGAGAATTAATCAGAATGTAAAGCTCATTAGCATATGTCAAAGCCATTAAAAGATCTGCACGACACATAAAACATTTAGAAATAATTTCCGCAATATTTTTTCATCTCTCCTTATTCAGCTGTTTTGTAGGCATAAAATACAATTTAAACCAGTATGGCTTTTGGGTTTGTGAATGTTTGCCTTTGTGGTTGTGGGTTTTATTTATGAGGTGCCATTTGAGACAAAAGTCATCCCAGGCTCATACTTTACTAGTTCAGTAAATTTTCCATACTTTAATGATCAAGCTGCATACTTTACTTGTTACTTTTTAATATACTTCAGTGATCAAATTGTATAGTGTAATGATAAGTTTTCCTAATGTGCCTGAATGAGTTGCATACCTCATTAATTTAGTTACATACTTTACAGGCCAAAATTGTAGTGTGTTTGGATGAAGTGAATAATTTAACAACCAGCCTTCTCTCAGAACCTGCACAGGAGCCCAGGGATATGTGTGAACCCAGGGTGGGATGAAATTGCAAAGGCATGGGGAATTCTGGTTTGAACTCAAATGGAAAACATGAGATTTCAGAGCATCTGGAAGCTAAAACAGCACTGTGAACCTGGATCATATTTGTTTTGTCTTTTAAAAAATGTTCCCATGTGGATTAATTTGGGATTTAAATGATGGATTTATCCCCTCTACCCATGACACAGCACAGAAAAGTGTTCAAGGAGAATGTGTTATACCAAAAGAAGCAGTACAAGCTCCACTCCTTTCATGGTCCAAGTACCTCCTGAAAGATGTGGAGGTGCCCTATTCTCTGCTAAGTCGAGGTGGAAAGTACTCAGGGTCTTGAAGGACTGTTAAAGAGATTTCAGGTTAAAATGTACACTCTTGCAGAGTCTGATCCTGGCAGTGCACAGCTTGTTCAAGTTGTTATGAAGGCTTAGCACCTACTTGGGAAATGAAGAGACTTTACAGCAAAACCTTTCCTAACAAGAGTAGTTACCTATTCTGAAGTTAGCATGTAAGCCTGCTAATGGGTCAATATTAGAGCACACAAATACATTCTTAAAATAATTATACAGATATTTTATATTCCATACGATTGATCTTTGTGCTGGTATGACTCAGTTGAAATTTACCGGAATTTATTAGCGTAAAAGCAGGATAAAGGGCAAACGCAGCATGTTCTAACCTACACAAAGTATTCCAGTGTTTTAGACTTGAGAACCACGTAATCTATTATATCTGTTAAGATTGCATTTTAATTTTAATAAGCTTAAAATATAAATATTTTAAAAATTTTCAACTATTTTTAAAGTAACTCTAATTAAATGTAGTCCTGCCACTAAGGACAAAGTAACAGTTGCGCTACTATAAATATTAATGCTAAATTTACAGAGAATAAAATACATTTCAGCAACCTTATAAAATTTTGAACGAAGCTACGCTTATAATAAACACTCTGGTAAATCTATGCCTATTGGTAACTGACATGCACGTATAAAGTCTATAACACATTCTAGAAGTTATAACGCATCACAAACATTTTGAAGCAGTTTATGGGTCCTCCTTCGCATGAAAACTGTGGTCCCTCTCTTTCCTCTCATGAATCACTGAAGCCCTGCAGTTATTTAAAGCAGAGCAGACTTTTTGACTTGCATTATTAACAGATGGAGATAAAGATCTCACTGGTTTTTCAGTTCCTGCTTTATGACACAAGATTTAATTACCATATAGTTCTATATGGATTTGTTCTGCACAACATTCTATTACTGCCATGGCAATAAAGCGGTAGGCTTTTTATGTGGTTTTCCATTGGGTGATGATTATTATTTTTCTCATTTTATTTGTGCATCAAGCATATATATTGAAAGTGAAACATAGTTACTTCATAGACCGTAAGACACAGGCTACTGCTTAGTTTTTTCAGAACTGCTAAGTAAACTGCTAGAACGTGGCTTTCACACGCTCAGCCAAATTCAGAAATGAACGGCAAGGTAACGTCATTTGTATTTCTTTACATTCAGACCTGCTTACGCCCACTTGCCGCTGGGAAAGGCAGCATAAGATGGGAGAAACTAGAGGACAGGGAAGGACTGTGAAATTAAAATAGGAGAGAGACTGCTTTTACTTGCACCTTTCGAAATGCTCCTGCTATTTACAAGTGCAGTGAGGATTTCTGCACGTATAGAAGGACGTGAGCATGAACTGCAGGATCTGTTCCTGCAATCTGCACCAAGTGAACAGGATAGAGTGAGACACAGCAGACATAAACCTCTGCCACAGAGGAAAAGCTTGGGTGAATGTGGCACAGTTAACTATTAAGTGAATATTGGTCTCTATACTTTAATTTGAGTTGTTGCAAGATGCATATTCAGAGCATCAGAAGATTATGTCTACAACTGCAGCCAAACATACTTAGGTTTCCATACTAACACCTCTTCCTGCTATATGTACACTGCTATTACTGTTTGGGTGAGCTTCCCACTCCATCCACCTCCTGCTCATACAGTACCTAATAGGTTGGAGAACAGAATTCACTGGGTGTATTTAGATATCCTATGTTCTATGTCATCCAGTCGGGGCAATTTGGCTTCATCTGTGGTCATGCTTGTACAGACCCATATCCGCATAATTGCAAAGCTTAACGTCAGAGAGCAGTTTATAAGGAGGTAAGGACTTTATGGAGTTCAAGAGAGATCAACAGAAAGATACGTGAATTTACATGCTTAGTTAGTTAGACAGTCACTTTTAACACATTAGATCTTATCTTTAGAAGAAATATCTTCTAACTTGCTAGCTATTCTTACCTCTGAGTTGAGGATGATGTTTTTCAGGAAAATCTTCCAGTTTATTGTCAACTCCTCACAAAGATTAAGGTTCTTGAGAAGGTACTTGAATTGTTTGTCTGATAACTTAAAGCAGAAATGGTCAAGTACCTGCCGAAATTCCAGCATTTTAATCACCCCAGTATCTTCTTTATCAAACAGAGAAAATGCCTGAGAAGCAAAAATTCGTATTACTTAAGGAAAGCTAAACATTCCAAATAGATTCCAAGGTGAACTATTCTTTTAAAAAAGAAATGCAATTTTTTAGATAAGGCAAAAACAGCCTGTATCTCTGCCAAATGTATATATAAATATGCAAATAAACAACAACCTGCAGTAAGAGCAGAAAAGTATCATATCAAGTATCCAAACATTGCAGAATAGGCAATGGGTAAGGCAAGAGAGGAAACAAACAAAAATATTTGAGGGCTGCCTTAAACAATTTTTATTAAAAATATTTTAAATTAAACTCAACTGAGCATATTTAATTTGCCTCTTCTTACCAAAAGAAGAATAATTCTCACTGGTTGGGTAAGTTTATTTTCCTCTATCTACTCTTTAAAGAACTTGATAGTCCTTCATTCTCATTACACTAGCTTCAGCTCATTCTGAAGGCTTGTTTGCTTTGATTTTGTTCTCCCTAGCACAAAGCACCCTGCCTATCCTTCACGGGAGTTTTCCGAAGGGCTCCCAGGGAGAACAGATTAGGTTTATCACAGTTGCAGCTGGAGAGCATTGCAGAAGTAGTAGTTTCGGAGTAGTTCAGTAGTTCAAGTAAGAGAGTAGTGCAGCTGAGCAAAAGGAGCACTGAAGTCTAGGAGAGCTGTGGGTCATATCCTCTCTCATTCTGTCTGGCTACTACCAGCTGTCCCCTTGTTTTATTCTGCCACTTATTTATAATATTGCATATATAAATCATTGATTCCATAAATGCAAATAAATATTGCACCACTCAAAATTTGAGGTTAAAGTCCTATCACTCTTCTAGCAGTATAACATTCAAGTATAATACGGCATTAGAACTGTTATCAGTAATGGGTTTAAAGATTTATATTTTTATGTACCTGAACCATGCTGAGTGGCAAAATAAATACTACAATATCCAAATGACATTGGAAAGGCATCCTTGGAGTATGAAAGAGGATCCTGTAACTTCTTAGTAAGATATTTTAATCTTTGCTTAGATATTGAAGATCTTATGGAAAAAACAAATCACTGAGTATACAGTACGCACTATACTGAAGTACGGTGAAAATAAGTGGGAAATGATTACACTGGCAGAGAGGACCCATCTGAATTTTTAACTATTTGTTATAAAACTTCAAAGGTTTGTATAAATGTTGTGGATGGAATGTGATTTTTTTTGAACTAGCTGGACTCTAGGAAGTGTGCTTCCAATCCTGCCTCTTTCTAACAAAATATTTTCTTAAAAGCTTATGCTGCTTAGTGTCCCTCTTTACATACATAGCAACAACCATTATTCAAAAAATGGCTCAGAAGCAAAGGGAGAACTTCATATATAAACTTCACATAAAGGAAGTGAGTAAAATTCTGCTCTTCCACAACATGGTGGACAAAGTGTGGCTCTCTGTGGAGAAACTACGTTAGTCTCTAAAGCTATTTTAACCAGCTAATGGCATTCTAAAAGATCAGATGGATGTTTTCTTCATGCCAGAGGTCATTTTCAAATCATACACTCAGCAGACAAAATTGTGACCTTCCCCATTCCCAAGGCACCCAGGATGAGAAGATAGATACTGTCCTCCAGGAAGCCTCATGTCTCCCATTAAAATTTAACAAACACTAACCCATGCTATTGAATTTATCTATTTCTTATTTTAATAATGCAAAGCACAGTAAGGATTTTTTGCTTTACTGTGAAAAATGTGAAGTGCCTATATGAATATTTCAGTATCCTGTTTAATAATCAGACTATCTGGCCAAAAATGGCAAGATGACCCCAATAAGTTTATAAACATTACAGGAGTCTCCAGTGTGAAAAGAGGTTTCTTTAAAGAAACAGCATCTCCTGTGGTATTACTTTTTTTTTTTCCTCACCATTGATATCATTAGTGATATATTTGTCAGAAGCCTGTGTTATTTTTATCTGCATGATACAGTCCATAGATTGAGATTTCAGAAATTCAGACATTGATGAAAGGAAGGGTCTACCCCCACTCCATTCCCAGCTGCTCTTCCCTTCCCCTTCCTTGTGCTGCCAGTAGCTCTCGAGTGCCTGTGCACAACTGATCAGGCCTTTGCAGGTTGAAGGTCCCTGACCCAGATCACTGGGCAGGAACACAAGTACTAGTATTGGCACAAGGCAGGTGGGAGGACCACATTGCTGGGGAATGGGAGGTAGCAAGACCCTGTTTGCAGGCAGAAGCCTGCCTATAAAGCTGCGGGCTTAAACTGGGTCTCACACTGCAGGTGCAGCTGACATGGCTCTACAGTTCCTTGTGACAGAAATGTTTCCTTCAAGGTCTTTTTGATTATTCGTACCCATGCTTGAAAGCAATCTTATTGTGGCATCAAGAACTATTTACTCTGAGAGGCTGCTGCATTTCCGTAGTCAGACGTAACAGTCTACAACTACTTAATATACAGCATTTTTCATTCAGGGTTTTCAAAATTCTAGAGAAAAGTGGTTATTTTTTTTGTCCTCATTTTACAAATGGGAAAACCAGGGGACATGCTGCTTGACAGCTAAGGCACCTTATCTCTCTGTGTCAGAATGAGAAGGGGACAAGAGCATAAATGTAGATAGTTGCAGTGGTCTGGCTGACAGGCGCTATCTTCTGCAGCCACTGTAATGTGCTTGCATCTGATCATATGTCCATATCCTCAGTCACTACATGATCCTTTCATCTTACACTGATAAAACTATACTGCCTCATTTCAGTAGCACATCATATCTATGTGTAATAAGTTTTAGCTTAAGAAACTCAAAAGAGCTATTTGGAAGAGATGTATTATTTACATGCCTAGCACACAATTTAAAGACAACCAGAGGAGAAAAGGGAATTGGGAAAGAAAGGAAGGTTCTGACAATTTGCTCTTATCTTTTTTCTTTCCAATCCTTATAATCACAACACCTCTAGGCTTGATTTGATACCCTTTTATTTGTGGAATTACCAGAATACAATCAACTAAAACATTTGCAGTTGTCAGAAGATGTAATTTCTACAAAGGCCAAGGTTTTTGGTAGCACTCAGTTAGCAGCAGCAAAGTTCCTAAGCCTTTAGGCTGGTCCCCAGCCAGGCAGAAAAAAAAAGATGAAATAAAATGTGATGACCACACGAAACTTACCTTGTACAGCAAATCATAAGATGATGCAACTATTTCTTTTATCTTAATTAGGGTCTTTTCTAAGCTGAGAGCTGCAAAGCTTGCAGGTGGTGCAGCCTGCTTTTGTCTCTGTTGGTATTTAGATGCTCTGCCATCATCAATTGCTCTCAGAAAATCAAAATAAGAGAGCTTGCTGTCATGAATGCTGATTCCTAAGCTAAAAGAAAAACATAGAAAGAGATATCAATGATTTTAAATAGTTATCTCACTGTTGTCTGTACTGATTAATTATGATGATACATTATTTGTACTTCAGCAGCACTTCAGGACATGCCTGTGCTGTCAGTTTGTAAGTCCTATTAGCGCCAGCCCAAGCTCTTTCTCAAGTCTCAGACACCACTCCTATCGATCAAATGCAACCACACTCTCAGACACAGATTTAGGCCAATCTCCAGATGCCCAAGAGGAAAGTCAGAGCTAACTAAGTGCTTTAGCCTGGGCCAAAGTGCACAATATTCCAGTCCATCAGCATTCATTTGATGTTTCTTAAGCATAGCACAGTGTTTTGAGCCCAACCTACTACTGAGCTTACCATCATCAATGTGGATAGAGGACATGCAGGTTGTCAGTCCTGTCCTAAGATCTTCTCATCCTGTCACAGTGTAAATACAGGCTAATAGACTCTGCTGAGGAGCAGATCTTCATTATACCAAGCACTGGTACTTGCCTTCACTTTCAACTTTATAAAAGTAACTTCGACCTGCAGATCGCAAAGAAGCTCTAAAGTGCTGCTCAAGCCTGCCAATATGTCACGATTATCACAATTTCAATACCACATGTAGTCTGGTAAAATGTTACTCGACAGAAGCTAGTACATCCGCTACAGCTCTGTGGTTCACTGCACGGGTCTACCAACTCCCATCTCTACTTGCTCAGTTTCTCTACACAAATTAGTTTTCATATAAAGTTTCTCCTTATGTTTGTGATGGAAGGATGTAACATCCTTCTGAACCTGTAGCCAACCAGAAAATTATTTTACAGAAAATTATTTTACTGGTGTCAGTGGAAGCAGTTGAAAGGTTTTAACCTGAAGTGTGGGCAATACAATGCCAAGTGACAGGCAGGACTCAGCCTCACTGTGTCTCAGGCAGCAAGCCCTCCCTCCCTTGGTATATGCACTGAGCTGCAGAGAAGGGCTGGTGCATTTGGCCCAGCAGCTACTTTCTCTGGCTTGCAAAGCACTCTGGTAAGGAGGTCTGTTCTGACCATTTGTGAACCTAAGAGCCCAGCACAAAGTCTCTGCAGACTGCTCTCGCAACTTTTGAATTTCTGTCTGTCAGCTGAAGCATCTGCTGGATCACTGACACTGGGGAGTTTTACGTTCTGTCACATCAGAAATTCAGTGGGTTACATAGCTGACTAGAGATAGCTCCAGGTAACAACGGTGAATATATTTTTGCATCAAATATCAGCATGGGGAAAGATGAGCTCTTGCATATGATTTTGGGGTTTTTTTGCAGAGGACTTTGTGGCAAAACTAAATTAATTTTCATTCAAGAATGCTTTACAATAAAAAGACTTGAATTAAGGTAAGCTTTATATATGCAGAAAAAATGCAAAAAATAGAGGTTATTTAGCATCAAAGATTAAGTTGGGATGAATAGCATTAACCACAACATGAAAAACTACTTTCTTCCAATGTCCTGTGGCATGTTACCATTCAATGAAATGACACCCAGTACATTTAAAACAAATAAAAGGAAGGACTTCAAAGCTGTTTAATGAGTCTGTATAACTCATTACCACACAGGAGTACAATAGCAAGGGCATGTTCTACACTTGCTTACCCGGTAAGTATCCATCGTAGTCAGTTTATGGAATTTCCTACCACTGAAAGACAGGAAGTCTCCAGGCTAGATTATACTTAGGTCTTTTGATACAGAGCTACAGAGTTACAACTGCAGAGGGATTTTTAATAGACTTCAGCAATTTTATAGGCCATTATCAGAATTGTAGATTCTTCACATACATGTAATAGGTAGACAATTCCTCTGCTGCAGGGGAAAGGCCGGACTTTTTCTTGCTTGCGTTAGGCTTTCTAATGAGAGTTATGGTCAACCAAGTCCTAGAGAGTGAAGCCTTGACAGCAAAGATGGCCCCGATACGTAATAAATTTCTTGTGTAAGACTGAATTACTATAATGTACTTTCATCATCTGTTTCCACAGTAAATCACTGGGGACCAATGCCTCAGCTACCAATCACCAGAATATCCAGCTACAAAAATGTCTAATTAATGGCAAGAGCCAGCAAAACAAAGAGGACGCTTTATAGAACAGGCTGGAAAAGAAATTAACTATAGACCCAATATCTGCTAGTAAGAAAAAAATATTCAAGAGCCCTGATTTTGCATCTTGCAGCTGCACAGCACTCCCACATACTACCCGTGTCAAGCTGGCTCCAATACTGGAGACAGTGTGTGGAAAAGGAAATAATCAACACCATTTCAGCAGAGAAATAAATTGCCAAGTGGGCATTAAAATTTTAGTAATAAAACTAAATGCATATGCTAATCTACTCTGTATTATTTAGAAAAGACTATTTTGGATCAAGAAAGGAATAATCTGCACAAAATTACAATGAATAGAGGTGTTTATCATCAAGAGGTCTTTGAGAAAGAAAAAAGCTGCAGATTCTTATTAGGGTTTCAATTCATAAAAAGTTGATCATCCAATTAAAGGTGAACTGTGAAATGACTTTGTTAATTTTATTTCAAAAAAAGAGTCTGGTCTAGCAAGCTCTAGACCATAAAGCCCAGTACTGCCAAGAATATGATCTTTGGGGGGCTGGGAGAACCCCATCTACCTAATATTGGAGCACGTCATTTGTATTCTTCAGCCGCTACATAAGAGAATTTTCTTCTTGCTCATATTAACACACAACATCAAACACACAGCTTTGCATGGCAGCAGAATTTAAAAATTATTACTATTTTATAACCTGCTATAATTCTTTTTCTATTTGGAATAGGATCTCTTTCACACATTTCCTCTATTAAATTGAAATAAATAAAGAAAATAAACTAGCAAACAAATATACATATACAGAACATACTGGTTTTATGTAAGAAGCCATTTCACTCTCATAACCAATAGCCTAGTCAATAGCCTAGAAAGATTTTTCACTCATATACAGTTTTAAGCGTGTGGGTACCTCCATTACTTTTAACAGAGCTTTCTTACATGCTTAATGCTGAGTGCAAGCTTACAGGCTTTGCTGGATGTGACCAGAGATGCTTAGGAGATAATTATACAAACCTATTTAGAAGGCCATTGAACTGATCATAGTCAAGGAAATAGTCAAATTCTTGTAGTAGCCTGTGCAGGTCACATACTGTTATGTAGCCATGTCTATTCTGATCCATTTTTTGAAAGACCTTGTTGAAATCTTCAAAGTAATCCCTAAATTTATCCCTGAAAGAGAGCAGTTTTTTTTTTCAGCTCCTTTGTTAAATCAGATAAAAAATGATAAAAACAAAGATACAACATAGGAGTGGAAGGGCAGAGAAAGATCTTGAGTTTATTTGTGTGTGGTAAGTTCACATAATTCATCCAAAGACTGATACAAAAAAAATTATTGGAGTGCCAAATTGTTCACAAAATTCATACTTTCTCCCCCATCTCCCCTGCTATTTAATTTGCACAGAGAATTGTAATGGTAAAACCTCCTACTGCAAACAAATGACTCTTGGATGATTAACTGACTGCTCTGCCCATTCAGAAATCCAGATACAAAACACAGTTCTCTACCTTTTAAAAGTCTACCTTGATCACAGATACAAAACACAGCTGTTACAGTGATAAGGGTTTGGTAAAATACTATCTACAATTTGAAGTTGCTGAAACTTTGATATAGTAATAGGAACTATTTAACAAAAACAATTAGACCTGAGCAAAACTGTGCCGAGCTCCTACTGACTTATGTGGGCTTTGTAACAGTACCTTAAAACTTCTCTGAGACATTTACCATTTCCTGCACACCATCAAATTCAGGCCTCAAAATCTTAGCTCTTCCTCCCACTTATTTTGTCACTTGTATCTCAGCGACATCAGGAACCGTATGATGAAACTTTGGAAACCCAAGCAATATCCCTCCCAGCCTTGCTACTCTTGAGTCAACACAAGCCTCTCCACATTTTGGCTCAAGACGACCAGGCAGGCACAAACTCTCTCATTACTGCACATTCTCAGTTCACTGCCAAAGTCACTTAAGATTAATGCAAGATCAAAATAGCTGTGAATTATGTCTTGATGGAGATTACCAAGCATAAATAAATTATCTACATATATTTATCACTTACAGGATGACACCCTTATGGAAGAAATAACAAGTTTTGATCTGGGTTAACAACTACAGCTGCACTCCATTTGCTTTGGGACTGCTCTTTCTGACAGCCCTAGGGTACAGAGTGTGGAGTGTAGGTTCTTTAGAGAATCAGGATTTGTGCTATAAAAGGCTTATTACAGAGATAATGCCATTCAAGATTGTAACTCACATAATCAAGCGTGATTCATTGCCTCAGTCTCTTGCCAAGCCTGTCTGTGGATCCCACCAAGAGCTTGGGCCAGTTCATTCTGCTCCCTGTTAAGCCACTGTCAATGGGCCAGTATCCATTTTTTACATTTGCTCCTTTGTACAAATACTGTGTAATTAGTTGTTATAAGACCATTAAAGGACATCTTAAGCCTCATATACTTTTTAGCAATGCTCAGTGAGTCCCCTCAGAGCTCTGCAACCTCTCATGGATCTCTCAGAGGCAATCTGGTCTCAGCTCTAGTTACTGGTGCTGTCTTTCCTCTCATAAAACTGCAGAATCCTCAGTTGTCCATTTATTTTCAAGAGGCTGTATGCTCAGTATTTCCCTTTACAAGATCAATACATTTTCCTTGTCAATTGTTTCTCCTAAGAATCTGTCCTTCTGGAGTTTGTACTTCCTATGAACACAGAGTAATTTCCCCGCAACGCTCAGAGCCCAGGAAATACCATTGTTTACATGAACAGCATCACCTATCATAGAATATTTGAATTATAATATGACTTTTGTGGGTTGTTAGCAATTTATTATACGACTCAGACCCACTGTACCTTCCATTGTCATTTGGACAAAATTTGGAATACTAGGATTGTCTGCTTGACAACATTTCAGCTGGCAATAAACCATTTTTCAAAGATGTGTTCTCAAGTTCAGGAAAAGTATGGGTCTCTTCTGGGCTCCACAGCCTACTTGAACTGTCTTTTAATAGTTTTAACTCAGCTCACCATTGAACTGAGGCTATCTAGATTGGATGGAACATGTTGCAATCATCCCTTACAATCATTTCAAGTCCTAGCTGCTGAACAGTGGACCATTGCTGGACAAAATTTCTGGGATGCCGTACCCAAATAAATAAAGTGTATCCTATGACATGTTCCGATATTAAATTATATCAAAATTCAAGTTCAGGTTAATGCCTAAGTTGGATACCTACAACAGGTTCAGATGTATCCACATATGCTCTTTTCTTTCACATTTCTGAGTAGTCTTATGAGTTTCCTGTACTTTGTGAAGCATGTCAGGTTGTAATACACTGACATTGCTGAGTTGTTACCTCTCAACTGTATGCCACTAAACACAGAAAGCTCTAATCCGAATTGGTGATACGGGCTTGGCATGCAATGCTCTGGCTACCTAACAGGTGGTAATCTTCAGGATTTTTTGCATTGTGCTGTCTTCCCTATAGCCTCTGCAAACCCAGCCCACTTTCTTCTGAAATCAAATAATTCTCCTTTTTTTTAAATTAAATTTCCATGTATTATGTCATTCTCTGTGTTGTTTTCAAGAACAGATTCATTAATGCTCTAGAAAGTATGTCTTCAATCAGTAATTATTTCTCCAGTTTAAACTTTATTGTCAAACTGAATGGTTTTAGCTGAAAAAAAACAAAAAAACCACCAAAAAGTCACAACATTTTTATATTCTGGAAGCTAATCTTTCTTTCGCTGTGGTTACAAAGTGGTTTGTATCAGTTCCGACCATAACAGATCAATAAACAAACATGTAACATTTCCTGCAATCATATAGCAGATTCAGAGCCTTGTCTCAGTCTGTGCCTAGAATCACAGTGTTCACAAGTGCCTTAGAGCCACAGGCTGCACATTCGCATTGTTTATTTTTTCAATAATATTGCCTGTAAGCCTTCTTTTGACAACTTAGTCTATCTTCTAGTGTCAAGATACACAAGGTTAGGAGCTGTCTTTACTAATGCCTTAAATTTAGGAACTCTTTTCCCAGATTGCCAGCCCGGTATGTGAATTTCATGTAGCGACCCAAAAGCTTCTTGCACAGATTGTGAGGTTGCGTATAAACTTTCCTGTAACTTTCACTATGCTAACAGGCCTCTGGATGCCTTCCTTACCTTTGTGGACAGCATAGTTGTAATGGCCCTTTTGTGTCTTGTTTTCAGTTAATCTTTTATGTTATTTCACTGTCCTTACATTTGTATTTCTGTCTGATTCTACTTCTCAGACCCTCTTGGGTGCTTTTTTCAGGTTCCCTACTGGACATCTTCAGTATCTATTTTAGCAGCCACAGTTCCTTCAAGTGAATGGCCTTTCTTACACTTCTGTGTGAAAACTCAATGAATTCTTAGCCAAAAGAAAGTCTGTGAAAGCAGTATTTCCTGTATGATGGACTAAAAGTGCACAGTGTTGAACTCCTCTCACACACGGAATTTTGTTTGGATACAGCAGAAGAATATAAATTTGTAAAAAAAGTTTATATACATTTGTGCAAACACATGTAGTTGTTTTCCTCGAAATATCCTCCATAGGAAAGCGTTTGTCCTGACACACATATTTAGCCTCACTGGTTGTAAGGACAATCTGAGTGACTTGTCTTTTTCTCTTACTGTTGCTAAGTGGCTTTTCCATTTTTAAACTTCCCACCATTATTCCTATGTGATCTAGTTCCTTTATAAGCTTCTATCTCACGACCAGAGGAACATTTGTAATAGCACATATTGTGAGAATACAGTTTTATATTCTGTGTCTACTTTATCTCTGACATTAAAGACTCCTGGGAACTGATCCGTGTTTATGGTTCCTTCACCAGATTCATTGCTTTAATCAAGCCTAGAGATAGGCATATTTTTAGACCCAATATTAGCTCTTCATGCCCATAAACTTAAGCTTAAACTACTGTTTTTATCTTTTCTTTTCAATTTAAGTTCATACAATCCTTCAGCAAGAATTTGATTCTCAGTAAACACCCTCAATTTCAATAGTCTTTCTTTATACGCAGAGATTCCTGATTCAAATTTTTACAGTGTTTTTCGAAGTAACGTTGGCTGAGCACCAATTTTGAATTTAGAGGTATTTATTCTTAGTCTGCAGCTCCCTGTTGCAGCTTTTGCAGAGAATCCCTGTGTGGTGTTTCAACGCACTTTTGGTTTGTCATCATCATACAGATTTGAGATGTGTGTTAGGTATTGCTTTGTTTCTGCTTTTCCAGTTGCAAGGTCTTGCAGAACAACTGTATTTTACTATAGCAGCTGCAGTATCTCCAAACTCCTGTACATAATTTAAATCTGCCAATTTTCCCATATCTCATTTTTGCAACTTCTTGCTGTCTCTTCAAAGCTGTTTTCCATTTACTTTTTCCAATAGTCAGCATGTCCTGCTCCCCTTCTGATATCTTCATACTGTCCCTTATGACTGCCGTAGCTTGTCGAAACAGATTTTCCCCTTATGACTGCCGTAGCTTGTCGAAACAGATTTTCCCAACTCCAGATCCTAGCTTCCTGGTATCTTTTCTGTAGCTCTGAACTCTGATTCTAGCCACTATCTGATCCCTTACAATAGAATCAAAATGCCATAGCTACTTGATTGATTTATTATTTTAAGATTAGCCAAAAATTCTTCAAAGGATTCCTCCTTTAGCATTCTCATATAAAACCTGCATCTTGCAAGAATTTAACTTTCCTTGCGAGTGCAATGTTCCTTCAACTTGCTTTCTATAGCTGCATGGTTTGCCCTCTCACCCTGGCTTGGTTTCATACCATTAAAAACATTGATAGCTCCTACGCCTGTAATATTCCTGAAGATAGCTGTGAGCTTCCTTCTGATGAATCTATACTGTATAGAGGTTTCAAAGCATCATGTGAAAGTTTTCAAGGAGCCTGCGATATTGCCGATGTGTTTTAGAGTTTCTAAAAGCCCCTAAAGAGCTATCGTCTTTTCTCTCACTTCCAAATCTCTTTTTTTCTAGTTAATTCCTTCCTATTTTTCACATAATGCTCCTGTTACCATGTGGTATTTGGGTTCCACTCAAGTAAGACTTGTACTGGAAAGAATACAGAAGAATGCTGCAGAGAGTGCTTATCAGAGTGGGGCCAATGGCTCAGGCTGGCTTCACTGTCTTGAATCTCTATGTATCTAACCACTGACTAACCAGCTCAGACTGCCTCATCCTTTTCCTAGATATGAGACCATATAGATCCAATATCTGCTGATTATATGTCTGGGATTCAACTTTTATTATGTTCAGCGGCCTACAGATTTCCCTGCAGAGGTGAAATCTAAAATCTACTGACAGAGAGTTTGCTTTTTTTGAACTACTATAATATCACAACTTACGAACCAGGGCTTTACAAAGAGAGTGTAAAGGGGAATGGTGGAGGAGGCTGGGTGCTGGGCTTCAGTATACCAACACACCAAGACAGTCACACCTTAGGAAGCAGGGTGTAGCAGCCTACAAGTCAAAGACAACTGACTCCTTAAGGGTACTTTGTAAATTCGTTGAGAAATCAATCTTCTCCAGCCCCAGAAGGCTATATAGCACTGCTCTTCCCATATTGTAAGGGTGTGCTTTAAAGGATGTGGTCCACATTGTATCCTCGCTGCAGGAAAATACTGGAATCCTTTACAGTTTTATGTTACTTGAGCGCTATTCTGTTAAATGATAGCACTTCATCACTATTATCTTCCACTTATACCTTGCCAATGAGAGGATGAGATAAATTCAAAACAGTTTTTGAGATTCATATTTTTAGAAAATTGAAGCACGCAACGTTTTTTGGACTGAGTAAAGGTTTCCAAGCAGTAATTACTCCACTTGCAGCAGTAAATATGTGCATGGAGTACATGAGGTTTTAAACCATAGATCAAATTACACTGCCAAAAAATACATTCTTGCAAATGTTTTGTATTTTTCTTGAAGAGCTGGAGAGCCACTGTTCAATGTCTGTTTCTAATTTGGGATATTTGTTCCTGTGAGTTACAACAAAAAAAGAAAAAAAAAAAAAGCTCAGCAGTATGTTTTGAATTTTAAGATGTCCAGAGCCTTTGTCTGCCTCACAGTGCGCAATCACGAGGCACCAACACTGCTCCAAAGCTGTTAGGGTGAGGTTCACAACCCTTGCAGAAAGCCAGAAGAAAGGACACAGGTTGGATGCAGCCACCGTGTAAATGGTAAAGGGAGAGCTTGAGCATGATCACACAAGGGGGTGTGGATGCTGCTGCTGGTGGTACTAAAGTTGGTCCTAGAACTTCACTCCTTGGGGAACTGACTCCTCCTAAACAGAATTTGACAGGTGAAAGCAATCAATTTCCCAACTCATTGAGAATGGAGGAGGGGCTGAGAGCCATGTGGATGATCAGGATTATGTTTTGTAGCCACCACATCTGCTCTCCTGTCCAAGAACAAATCTCCTTACACTGACTTTTATGGTAGAAGGGCATGGTGCCTGTTTCTGTTTCCTGTCTCTCATGCTGTATTTTCTCCTTAAGGAGTAGAACGCTCACAGTCCACTGGATTGTGGCCTTCACAGTCACCACGCAGATGGATTTCATTCTTCAAACAATGACTTTGGCTTAAGACTCATTTACAGCTTTCCAAGGCCCTGTGTGAGGTTTGTCAAGTTCAGAGTCCTGGACTGATCTCCTCTTGCACTTCTAGCTTTCCAGGAGAGAAAGCCACACAGGATCTGCTACCACAGAACCCACTCCCACTGGCCAGGAAGTAGGTAAGAAAGTGTGAGAAACAAGAAGGGAACATTCAGTGGAATTAAAAGGTGGGAATAATTGATAGCAAGACATAATTTTGCAGACCACAAGAAATAAAGCTGTGGGACTCATTCCCAGAAGAAGGCATTGACTCCAAAAATTTGAAAAGATTAAGAACAAAACTGGATATTTTATTTTTTTACATATATATGTATATATATGAGGAAAAGCCAGAATAGTAACAATTAACGATCACATCCTTTGTGAAAGGGATGTGAAAATCTTGTCTGCAGGCATAAACTAAATTCTGTCATAGTCCAAGATGAGACAGCCCTAGTTTAGGGAGCAGAATTTTCCACGTCCATCTCTTATAAGGCTGTTCCACCGTAACCAGAAACATCTGGCTTTGCTTACTACCAGATAACTAAACTAGATGGTCTCTGATCCAGTCTGCCAATTTCTGTTTTCCTTCAAATGATGATTAAGCAATCACTGTGCACTGTATGTATGTATGTATGTATAGGTTTTCCAAAACAAAACAGTTCTAAATGACTTTTTTTTTTATACCTTGTGTGTCTTCCTCATTGATTAAATTACTCTCCACTGCCTCAGGATGAGTATCTGCATCTCTGGGCCACGCTGCATAATTTCTGCTTGCAGTACTGCTTTTTCCCTACTTGCAGGATTACTTATTAGTTATAGCATTGGAGGTAGGGCCAGATTGCACTTGGGCTTGTGCTAATGAGTAAGAAATAGATGGTTCCTGACCAAAAGAGCTCTTCATTCAAGTGTAGGATTAGAGACAACTGGCTCGTACAGCAAATGGAATGGAAGATCCCAGCACGAGACAGCTGGGCCTAAGCTTCACATCAGATAGTTGCAAATACAGTAATAACCAACGCCTATGGCACACCGGCTGCCTAGCAACCTCTGTTGTATATTATATAGTTTTTTCACAGGTGGTACATTTTGTTGATACCTGTGTGTATCATGAGCGCAGATTACACCACAGAGAGCTGTAGTGCACGTGGGAGAGTTGTGATGCTGGACAGAAAGGAGAGTTTTGCCCTTCACTCCTTCATGCTATTTGGGGCACTGAAAAATAGCACTAAAAAAACAAGATAAAAGCCAAGTGCTAGCTTATAGGCTTCTCTC